GACTAGATAACTGGGAGCTCCCAAAAATCAAACACTTATGCTCATCAAAAGACTTCACCAAAAGAGTCAAAAGACAACCTACAGACTGGGAAAAATTTTTTGGCTATGACAAATCCGATCAGCCTCTAATCTCTAAAATCTACAAGATACTGCAAAACCTCAACAACAAAAAGACAACCCAATTAAAAATGGGCAAAGAATATGAACAGGCACTTCGCCAAAGAAGATATTCAGGCAGCTAACAGACACATGAAGAAATGCTCACGATCATTAGCCATGAGAGATGCAGATCAAAACTACAATGAGATACCATCTCACCCCCAACAAGGCTAGTATTAATCCAAAAAACACAAAATAATGCTGGAGAGGTTGTGGAGAGACTGGAACACTTACACACTGTTGGTGGGAATGTAAAATGGTACAACCACTTTGGAAATCGATTTGGCACTTCCTTAAAAAGCTAGAAATAGATGTACCATACGATCCAGCTATCCTGCTCCTTGGAATATATCCTAGAGAAATAAGAGCTATCACATGAATAGATATATGCACACCCATGTTCATCGCAGCACTGTTCACAACAGCAAAAAGATGGAAACAACCTACGTGCCCATCAACGGAAGAATGGATGAACGAATTATGGTATATCCACACAATGGAATACTACAGAATGATAAAGAACAATGATGAAGCTGTGAAACTAACATTGAGGAAGCTGGAGGTCATTATGCTGAGTGAATTTAGTCAGTCGCAGAAGGACAAATATTGTATAAGACCACTATTATAAGAACTCAAGAGAAGGTTTAAACACAGAAGAAAACATTCTTTGATGGTTACAAGGGTGGGGAGGGAGGGGGAGGGTTATTTACTAACTAGATAGTAGATAAGAATTATCTTAGGTGAAAGGAAGGACAGCACTCACTGCAGGGGAAGTCAGCACAACTGGACCAAAACCAAAGCTAAGAAGGTTCCTGAATACAATCAAACACTTTGTGGGATAGAATAGCAGGGGTAGGGGTCTGGGGACCATGCTTTCAGGGGACGTTGAGGTCAATTGGCATAACAAAGCTTATTAAGGAACTGTTCTGCATCCTACTTTGGTGAGTGGCATCTGGGATCTTAAAAGCTTGCAAGGGGCCATCTAAGATGCATCAGTTGATCCCAACCACCTGGAGTAAAGCAGAATGAAGAACACCAAAGACATAAGTAGTAGCCCAAGAGACAGAAAAGGCCACATAAACCAGACTTCATCAGCCTGAGACCAGAAGAACTAGATAGTGCCTGGCTACCACCAATGACCACCCTCACAGGGAACACAACAGAGTCCCGGATGGAGCAGGAGAAAGGTGGGGTGCAGAACTCTAATAAGACCAGACTTAATGGTCAACTGAGACTGGAGGTACCCCGGAAAGCATGGCCCCTGGGTTCTCTATCAGCCCAGAACTAAAACAATTTCTGAGGCCAACTCTTCAGACAGGGATTCGACTGGACTGGGGGACATAAAGTGATACTCCTGAGGAGTGTGCCTCTTAGCTCAAGCAGATACAAGAGACTAAACGGGCAGCTTCTGTCGGGAGGTGAGATGGGAAGGCAGAGGGTTAGGAATTGGTTGAATGGACATGGGGAATCGGGTGGAAAGGAGGAGTGTGCTGTCACAGTATGGGGAGAGCAATTAGAGTCACATACAATGTATGTATAAATTTTTGTATGAAAAAAATTAGAAAATAACAGGTTAAAAGTATAACTGCAGGCCCTTTTGGTTTCTGGACTGGCAGTAAGATCTAAATTTTCTTTGCAACATCCCAGCCCTGTGCTAGTTCAGCCCATGATTAAAACTCCTGTGATGGGGAACATATTACCTGCCAAGGCAGCCCCTTATACAGAATGAGGGACCCCTCAATGTCAGTCACCCAAAAGGCATTTATTAGGTACCTGCTACATACTATGCATTGCCTACAATTAGGTTCATTTAGGCAGTGGTGCAAATGGAGTGAAAAGATGAACCTTGCTGTGGGTGAAGTATGTTGGAGCCTAAGTGCTGCCTTCTCAACACTGATAAGAAGTGTCAGGCTTAGTGGCTTTGTAAACTGGGTTACTTTACTTGAAGCGAGTTAATCCAAATGCTGTCACTGACCAAGGGGCTCCTTCTCCGTAAAACTGTTTAACACCAGGTGACCCGGTTAACCGATTACCCGATTGTTTCCTTCTCAGGCAGAACCCTCCTCCGCCATTAGTTCCGTGTCAGTCATTTTCAATGCAGAAACAATTCTAGCAAGGCAGATCTTCCAGACCCCAGAACTCTGGGGAATGAGAAGCATGATTACAGAATTATCCTTGACCCTTTGTTCTTGGCCAATGAGACTTGACTATACAGGTAAGCTACAGGTACCCTAGATTTTATCCTCCCAGATGTACATTTCTAGCTCATGGAATGAAGGTGTTTAGGGAAACCTGCTTGGAGACTGAGGTTACTATGCCCTGGATCCTGAAGGCCCTCCCTTCAGATGTCAGAGAGATTCTGCCTGATGTTAAAGTATTCACATCTTAGGAAAGTAGCTGAAGTTGTTTCCTGGAGTGGACTCCCACTCCAATAGCTTCAGCTCCGAAATGATCCCCCAGTCCAGGCAGCACAGCTTGGAAATGACAGGCAGGCTGAATATCCATAAAAACCCACAATTTATTGAAAACAAGGTAACTTTCAGTCGCTCTGATAAGAACAAATTAGTTTAGAGATACCATTACTCAGGAAAATAATATGTACAAAAGTCTCAGGAAAGAGAGACTAAAACAACTTCAAAGAATACAACTTGAACAGGATTGGCTTACTAGAATGGTCATGTAGCAAAATAATACAGAGTACAACGAAGAGCCATTCATGAGAAAACTGGTGTACCTGTGGTGGGGGACTCTCAGTTCCCATATTCTTAGAACACATCCCATGATTCTTTGTGGCAGAGAGGCTCGCTGGAGCACAAGGATCTCACTGCTGACTGCCACATAACTAGTCCATGCGCAGGGTGCAGGCGAAACACATGGAATGAGGCTACCAGACAAGCTATATTTGCTCCTCTGACAGACCCCATAAGAAGTGCTCTCTGCCAAGTCTATAGACCTGGCAGGGACCACTGGACCATGGATGGCTTAGGAAGTTACTCTGTGGCCCGTCACTTAAAAACCCTAGACTAAGTCCTCCAATTCCCTTACCCAAATTCCCACTGCTAAAGAGGTAGAGGAGCAAGACATGGAAGCTGCCTCCAAATGAATTTTTGGTCTTCAGTAAACAGGAAAAAATACAAAACTCTCTCCCAAGAGTCAGAACTACGGGCATGGCAGGTGAGATTCCATCATCCCGTTTAGCATCCAACGCAGGAGGAGAAAGGGGGGGCGGGTGTGGGAGGGGTGTGTATGTCCTACTGTTGTGGTCACTACTGTGACATACAGTGTTCTGCTGTCCTGGCCTGCTCTGTCCAGTCCCTCCCAGCTTCCTGGATCTGCCCTCTTGTAGTCCACAACACTTCGCTGAACTAAGCCTCCCAGCCTCAAGCGTTCACAGAGAAGTGCCAGATGCAGTGTTCTCTGATGAGGGGGGTAGGCAGTCTTCCCAGAAACATGAGGTTCTTCCATCCACCTCCACTGGAGGTAGGGCAAGGCAGAGAGAATTCTGACTTACAGGAGGCAGTGGCTCAGAGGGCAGGAAGAATTCGGCTGGGAGAATGACAGCGTTTTGATTTCATGGACGCAGCAGACAATGTCTGGGGTCACCTGGGTTGGGAGGCATGAGGCTAGAAGCAGAAGCAAAGCTTTATCTAATGACTGGGGAACAGAGTGTCTCCTGCTCTCCCTCTCCCTGAAGTCCCGAAGAGGATCACAAACAAATAGTAAGCCCGAAGGGAAGAAGTCTTTTGAGGGTCCAAGAGGTGCCTATGAAAGGTTCATCCTGTTTGGCTTCTTGGAAAAGCAGCCTCATTTGTGGGACTGTATGCTGCTGCAGATCTGGGCAAGACGGCTCTAGAAAGAAAAAGAGGCAGAGAATTTAGAGATGGCACTTGGCATGCCTGCCCAGTTAGCCACTCACAGTCTAGCCAGGTACCAGTGGATCTGGAGCCAGGCAGGGCTGAGAGGGAATCTCAGCCCCTCCAATCTCTATTGGTATCACAAACCTTTCTGAACCTCACTTTCTTACAAAAGAGTAAATAACATCTTAAATGAGACAGTGAAGGTATAATTTGGGAACAGTAATGCTATTACTCAGCTAGATGATCACTGTCATAAGATTTGAGTGGCTGGTTGTATGTGGATCTTAGCACTGGGTCTGTGTTCAATAGGACATGTTGGAAAGCCAGTTCTGCCCTTGTCCCCTTCCTTGAACGTTCCCTTCCCATACCCTACAGAAGGGTGGGCCTAGGCAGCCATGTCTGCACCAAGTGCTCCCATCTACCACCCAAGACCATGGCTGATTGGGCCAGGGACGGCCATCTGACTAAAGGTGAACCAATTAAACTCTTCCTCTTGAATGGAGCAATAAAGTTAAGAGTTGGAGGTGTGGCTACCCAAAACCACATACAAGCCAGTGTTAAGGGAGATCAGAACCAAGAGTCTCATGGGGGTTATCTGCCAAGAGAGAGGAATGAAGATGTGTGACAGAAATGAGTGCACAGGCCCTAAAGACAGACGCTACAGGGAGGTGGATGCGCTGGAATGGCAGTCCACATACTCCTGTTGCTGAGGTCCCCACCTCTCTAGAAGTCTGGTTGTTCAGCTCTTTGTTTCTGTGAGGTTCCAGAAACTTATCCCCTTCCTAAACTATTGTGAATAAGTTTCAGTTCCTGGCAGTCAAGCGTGTCCTGAGATACCCTGGCACTAACTGCCTGCAGGAGACAGAATTTTCATTCTGTTGTGGAACTTCTGTGGTAGGCAACCTGGGATGGACCCAAACTCAGCATCGATTTAGTGGCAGATTATTGCTATAAAAGTATGCTAACAGTCAAATCCCTCGGGAAAATTAGGCAGTACAATTCTTAGAAAGCAACAGCCCAGACCCAAAAGTCAATCCTAAGTAAACCTAAACCAAGAAAGTGAATGGAAGCATCCTATGTGTGGAGATGAATAAATGAGACTTACAGAGAGCTTCTTAATGCTTCCCAAGGCCTCTGGATCCAGTTGGGTGATATCAATCCTCCGCAAGTCACTGGCTAATAATCGCATGCTCTATATAGACAGGAGAGTGGGTTCCATTGGTATTCCCCTTATGGCAGGAACCCCCACCCGGCCTGCCGCCCACTGTGCCCAGGGGGGTCCGCTTGATATTCTGCACTTGACAGAGGGGAATGGCTGGGATGGAGAAATAGCAAGGCGGGCAGGAGAGGCTGTTAGCTCTAAGGAAACAATCACGCCGGTCAGTGGCTGGATCATCCAGGTGCAAAGGCAAGCACATTAGCTGAGAAATCCTGGCAGGCCACATCTGAGATAAACCATCTTTCCCTCATAGGAGCTGAGGCTGCAGCTTGCTTGACTCAGCCCAGGGGAACTGGGCTCAGCCTGCTTCAGAACCTCTTTAAGTATACAGAGTTGAAGGCACACTCAGGCTCCCCTTTTTAGACTAAGCGCATACCTTGAATGTTTTGTCCTCTGTACTCCCTTGAAAGTCTCTATTATTCCACCTATCACATGATACTATAGTCAATTGTGAACGCATCTATCTTGGCTACTAAGCTGCTTCTCAACGGCAGGAAGCATGTCTTGTACATCTCAGGCCTGCTACAAGACAGGTGGGCAAATGTTAGCTGATGAGCAAATGGAACCCAGAGCTAGGGCAAGGAGCTTTCCAGTCTGGGCCTTGAACCTAGGAGAGAAAACTGGGTTCTGGGTCCTGCAGAGTGTGGAGATCAGGACCCATGCAACTGAAAGGACTTCGTGGGAGAGAAGTGGGTTATGGACCAGAGAAAAGAAAGGCTTGACTACACAGCACACCGTGGCCTTGCTGCCTTCTGAAATACTTTACCTCTCCGCCTCCCACCGGCACTGTGAGGAAAATCTCTTTGCTGTCAGCGAGGGGGCTGCCATTCACTGAGACGTTGTAAATCCGCTCTCTGGCTGCTGGAGTGCGCAGGCCTGGGGTCTTGAAGACTCTATAAAGTGGGAAAATCTCTGTGAAGATGGCCTGGCAATTTGAATGACACCAGGCTCTTCCAACCCCCATCTGTCCTCAAGTTGCATTTCTAAGAAGGCGAGTTCTAAATTTGGGGAAAAATTGTTTTTAAGTAGTAATGTCTAAACACAGCTGGAGAAAGGAAACTGTAATTATTAAACATAACATCTAGCAAAAGTTAATCTGTATCCATGTAAATTTTAGGTCCATAAGCCCCGTATGATGCCAGCCATCCACGAAGCCAGAAATAAACTGTGCTTAATGTGTTTCCAAGAGCACCTAAATGCTTCCATCAAAAGGAATTTTCCAGGGTCAAAGGAGGATGATCCAGAGGTGATTATTATATTAGTTCCCAAGCTAACTTTGTTAAGGCAGTTAAAATGCTGCTACCTGTCTTCCCCTAAGTGTCTTTACTATACGCTCATGTGCAAAACAAACAGTAAAGAAGAATGGGAATTCTTGTAGAAAGTTAAGTCTTCCTCACCCTCCCCACCCCAGAGATAATCACTTCTTCCCCTACTCCCAGAAGTAATCACTCTTCCTTCCATATGTATCCTTTCAGAAACTTTCTATGCATATAAAAGCAAATGAGATCTTATATCACACACTCTTCTGCAACTTGCTTGGAGATGTTCTATAATCATGAAGATCTTACCTGATCAGCACTTCTTTTTAGTGGTTATATAGCATTCCCTATGAAAATTACTGAAGTTCACTGGCCGTGCAAATGGTTAACGTGCTCTGCTGCTAAACAAAAGATTGGAGGCGCAGGTGAACTCACTGGTGCCTTGGAAGAAAGGCCTGGTAACCTAATTCTGAAAAATCAGCCACTGAAAACCTTATGGAGCACAGTTCTACTCTGACACACATGGGGTTGCCATGAGTTGAAACTGACTTGACGGCAACTGGTTCTGGTATGAGAGATATTAACTTATGTTGCAATAACATCCTTGTCCTTATTGCCCTCCAAAAAGGTGGTTCAATTTTCACTCTTACCAAGGGTATAGGAGAGTGCCTATCCATTTAAGAAAAAAAAAAAAAAGCCTCTTATCAGAATTAGAAAAGTCCAAAAAAATCACATAGAAGCCTCCAAGAAGAATGTTCTCTTCCCTCTCATCATATAAAGAATCATTTCGCTACTGACAGTGGGTGAGAATGTAAACCCACCCTTGGGGGAAAGGCAAACACTGGGAAGCCCAGACACTTACCCTCCTCTGCAATGGCTTCTCAGGCTAAGGATAGGGCCTGTTTTCTTAAACACTCCTTCTCTGATAAATGTCAGATTCGGGGCTCCCACCAATATCCAAAGGCTGCTTTCAAGACTCACCTTGAATCAAACCTGGGTGTCAGGCCTGGCGTTGGTTTTATCATAGACAACTCCAGTCGGTTCATAGCTGGGGTAACAGTGTTACAACGGCTTGACCTATAAGTAAGAAACAGCCATTAGGTATGCCAACTCTCAGACCCAGTAATAGCTGCAGCAGAGGCAGGAGAGAGCACCGTGAGATACCGTTCTGAGCACCTGACATAGATTAACATGTAACCCTCATAACCTGATGAGGGAGGCACCATTATTATCCTCATTTCATAGAAGAAGAAATCAAGTTTAAGTAACTTGCCCAGGATCACACAGCTAATTAAGGTAGAGCCAGAACTCTGAACCCAGGAGACAGCCCCTTAACAATCTGCAGGCTCCCCCAACTGGAGGTCTGGTCCTCTCACTAGGAGGCTAGTTACTGTCCTGTCACCGCCGCTCAGGGAGAAATGAGGTGTCAGTCCCTCCTTCAGACACACATCCCGATGACTACTTCTCTAAGCTTGTTTGAGAAGCAGTAGTCCCCCTGCCCAAATTGTTTATTAGCGTCCAGCATCATCAGTTCAAGCCCATGATGATTCTATACTTAGCAGGATTAGGAGGACATTTCAAGAAACTAACTAAATAAGGTGGCAGCCACTTTATCACTGACTATGGGGTAGCTCTGCATATGGACTTTCAGGCAACTAAACATATCTGCAGTGTGTAACCGCGTTTTTCCAGGCCTAACTCTCCTTGTCCGAATTAAAAATCAAGTGGGGGAGGATGGCAAAGATGGGCAGAAGAATTGGAGAAGGTGTTGGGTTAGAAGGTGAGACCATTTCTAGAAGCCCCTCCAGCTCACTCAAGGATTCGATGATTTTATGCTCTATTCAAACTCCAGCACAAAAGCCCTTTTTACCCCCTATTTCTGCCATGATGTACGGGGCTCTCCAGTGAAACCAAGAACACATATCTAAATCTGGAAAACCTATTACCTTTTGCTTCTGCCTTTTCCTTGTATAGACTGGGTTCTCTTCTTGGATGGAGGACACCTTTTAACCTGAAGTCACAGTCAAATGAAACTGAGGTTACAGAAAGCCCAGCAGAGGGGAACGGTAAGGAAGGGTTTAAACAAAAAAAAAAAAAAAGGAGTGGGGGAGGTCAGCTCTAGCTCTGGAAAAGAAAATTAATAGTAAATGTAAGGACTTCCTCACAGAATTGAATTTAAATAATTTAGAACATAATTAACCAACTAAAGGTTTATACTGGCTGGGTCTTCAGAATATAGGATTTTGGCCAAAATTAAAGGTAAATCTCTTTTGAACTTATTGTAGCCTGCCCCCCACCCCAGCCCCGTTTTACAGAAAGTGCGGCTGCGAAGGTCACTAAGGATATCTTGGGTGCTCAATCCAAGGGTCCCTCTGTAGTCCTCACCCTTCCTGACTCAGCTGAGGTACCTGACAAGAATCACTCCTTCCTTTCTGGCAGTTCTCCCCTCCCTTTCTTCCAAGATCCATCTTCCCTACTTCTCTGGCTGTCCCTCTGCCGTCTGCCTCACTAGCTCCTCTTTCTACATCCACTCCTAGGATCCATCCTCAGCCTGCCTCCCTCTTCCCGCTCCCTGTACAACCTCATCCACTCACACATGGACAACCAGCTGAAGACCTGGCAATCAGTGGCTCTCTCAATTTCCTCCTTGTCCCTGAGCTCCAGGCTGAAATTTCTGTCTAGCCTAGATGTCCTGGAAAAGTATTAAACACTCAACATGTCAAACACTATTCTTCTTCTGTGTCCCACAGCTCACTAGACAGCAAATGCCTAAGCCAGAAGCCATTCAGGCATCTCGGGTTCCTCCACCAGTCCTGCTCAGTCTCTCCTTTAACATTTATCTCAAAACCACCTCTTCTCTTCCTACCATGTCAGTGCCTCAGCTTAAGAAGTACAGTAGTTTACAGGGTACTGGGCTTCTGTATGAGATCATAGAATTATTTTTTGGAAATGGATAGTGGTGATAGCTGTACAGTGAGATGAATGTAGTTGATGTCACTGAATTGTAATTTAAAACTGGCTGAAATGGCAATTTTTTGGTGATATATATTTTAGCACAATTTAAAAAATGATACTAATTTCTAAAATTTTCACCTTTGCTTCACAAACTAAATAATATAGAAGCATATTTAAAGATGTAAAAATATGCACATTTTTCTTAAAAATAAAAATAGCCTCCTAATTGGTCTCCTTGTCTCTAGATCTCTCATCTATCCTAAATATTGTTGTACTGAAATACTGATGTCACTTTCTGTTACCTACTTGATGAAATTCAAATTTCCAAGTTTGACACGCAAGGCCATCCAACACCTGGTCTCTACCCTACCCATATAACCCTCACAGCTTATATCCCAGCCAAACCAAACTGCTTCCTGTTCCTTAGATGGACAATACACTTCCATCCCTCTTCCTGAAGTCTCTTCCCTTTCTACTCCAGCTAGTGAAATCTCACCCACCTTTGAAGGCCTGGCAGCAACCTAATGGGGTAGTTAAGACTTGACAGTTTCTTCCTCTATGTTCTACGCACTTTGTACCTGCCTGTATTATCAGTTTTGTTATTTACCTGTTTAAAATGGGATCTTCTCTACTAAACTGTTAACTCTGTCTGGGAGGGAAACAAGTATATTATGCATCTTCGTATTTCCTCAGGCCTCTTAGCCCTCATTCCCCAACCTGAGTGCCTACTTACTCTTGTAATTTGTAAATTCTTATTTTTATTTTCTTCTTCTTCTTCTGCTATCACTTCATCCATTTGTATTGCTTTTCGGGCTATAAGAAACAGTTGAATAGTGTGATATTTCCAATAAGAATAAACTTTCATACATTCACATTTCTTACAAGGAATAAACCTTATGTGACCTTAAGCTGTAATCAAGAAATAGACCTAAAATGAAGAATATGACTTTTTAAAAAGAGAGTTTAGACAAAAGAAACTAATCAGATGGTCAGAAACCCCACATGACACCTGATAGGGGCAGCCCGGCATTCTGATTCAGCGCACAGACTGAAGGCCAGCAGACCTGAACTTGTGTCCTGGTACTACCACTTACTAGGTCACATAGCTTTAACTGCCCTGTGCCTCAGTTTCCCATCTATAAAAGGGAGTAATCACTAGACAGGGATATTGTGAGGCTTGGAACATGAGCTCCACAAGAACAGTGTTATTTTTACTCTTGTATCCCTGAACCCTAGAACTGTGCCTGCCACATAATAAGATTTCAATAAATATTTGTGGAATGAATGAACGTAATGCCCTTTGAGTATCTGACACAGAGGGAACATTCTCAACATGTCATAATAATGGTATATTATCATTACAGTTATCTTCTTAGGAGGAGGAGTATGAAGGATGTTTAAGATTGATGAAGCTAGAGGAATAACAATTTTTAATATTTAAGGGGTTGTCATATGGAAAAGGGTTAACATGGTTCTATAGAACACCAAAAAGCAAAACTAGTGTCAATATGTAGGTACCACAAGGTAACTCTGGCTCAAAATTGGGAAGAATTTTCTAATAGTCTTAGTGTCTACTCAGTAAAAAGTAATGAGTGTCCCATTGCTATATAACCATAATCTAGACAATCCTGAGCAGGAATTCTGCAGAGAAAATTCATGCATTTAACCATGGGAAGAGAGATCAGACTAAACAACTTTTAAGTGTTTTTTTTTTTTTAAATTCAGCTGCAACTCTGACACATTAAATAAGGGCTCAAAAACAATTTTAACTGTTGGTTGATATTGGTCCTGGTGTGTTCAGTTCCCAGAAGTGAAATCAGAACACCCCCCTCCTGTACACCCCCGCCCCCAGTAAGCAAAACTGGTGGAACTCAGAAACTAATGAGATTACCTGAAGAGTAGAAATGACCCAAAGTGGCCTAACCACACCACCCGTTGCCGTCGAGTCGATTCCGACTCATAGCAACCCTACAGAACAGAGCAGAACTGCCCCATAGAGTTTCCAAGGAGCGCCTGTTGGATATGAACTGCTGACCTTTTGGTTAGCAGCCATAGCACTTAACCACTACACCACCAGGGTTTCCAACCTAAGAGATTATAAATATGTGGCTGAGGAACTCTGGGAACACCCAAGTCCAATTACCTCATTGTAATCTCAGGGAGGCAGGACTGGAATGTGACATTAAGAAAGCAGACACATCATGCTTTCTTCATGGCAGGCAAGTCAGAACAAGAACCAGACGGGGTTTCTGGCCCTGCCTAGTGGAGAAGGTGCCCTGGGGGGCAGCCATGAAATCCAGGCCTTGGGTCAGTCCTCACAAGAGCTAGATACAGCTTAATGACAATGACGTTAAGTCCACATCACCACTCAGTCTGGCCTGAGTCCCGCTCACTGAGTAACCTCTGATTACAAACCTGGCTTCCCATATCACTTTTCCTATAAGACAATGTTTCCCAGAGTGTCTTATAGATGGTTTTGCATACACAGATCACTGGACTGAGTAACATGGAATTACATACTAAGAAAGTTATTCCGTTTACAATCCTCTTTCCACCCTTCTGATTACATCAGGAAGAGTCTCAGTTTGGTATTACTGTGCCTTTAAACACCTCTCTAAATCTTGCTATCCAAACAATGATTGGTTCCCAGCTGTAGGGTGTGGAATCCCCTTGCTCACTCTGCCCTGAGTCCATTCTAATAATTTGGGTAAATAATTTGGCCTTTGGTCCTGGTGCTGAGTTGTACCACACCTGAGGCTAATGAGTCGGGGATTACCAGACGAAAAGGGATCACCTGGGGGCCCAATGCTGACTAAGCCTCAGGAGGCATGATATAGTCTTTTATTGGAGGCCAATAAAAGCCTTGGAAGATGGAAGCTCACTGTAGCTTCTGGGTTGGTGAGAGCCAACATCAGGGACACGGAAGCTCTGTGCCAAGACACCTCCTGGACCTCACCCTATCCTTTTTTCTGCTAGATTAAAGATAGGCCTTTCCCTGGAATTTGTGATTTGTTTCAACAAATTATCAAACCGAAGAAAGAGAGAAAGGGCCAGTACCCGCTGACATAGGCCTGGGTGAATGCAGCTGAGAGAGAGCGCTGCGTGGAGCAGCTGGGGTCTGGACTGACCAGGGAAGGGAAGCTGAAATTTCTACTAGAGGCAGTTGGCGTGGGGAGTGGGATTTATTATCTACCACACATTTGGCACCAGAAGTGGATGATCTCAGCCATCCTGTACTGGTTTGACACTGATTTACAAACCAGCATAGCTTCTTTTTTTTTCCCTTTCCCTTTAGCTCACATATCAGTCTCTTGAGACACAACAACATCCAGAATGTACTGGCCAAAATCAAATTTCTGGATTTACAAGACAGAGAACCAGAGGCCCCACCAGTTAGGCCCTGCCTGAGCAGCCAACAACCACCCTGGACCTCAGCATTCTCAGTTCAACAAGGGGTTTTGAAAAGTACTCACTTTTGGCAGCTTTCAGGGGTGTCTGAATAGCTTCTGCTGTTAGTTTGTTTATTTCTGTGATATCAAGGTCAGCCTGTGCCAAAGATAGCCAGAAAACACCAGATCCATCAAATAGGAGGAACAATATTTTAACATTAAAAACAATTAATTTGATATATATAAGAATGTCACATTACTTATAACAAAACATACTTTTTTTTATCATGTTACCTATGACAAACTCCCATAAACCCACCACCCAACCGGAGACCTAGAACATTGCCAATAACTTGCTTCTAGCTATGTATTCCTTCCCTGTCCTATTTCCTTGTCTCTCCCCTAAAGGTGCCCACTATCCTAACTCTGATGGCATAGCGGTTAAGAGCTTGGTTGTTAACCAAAAGGTTGGCAGTTCAAATCCACCAGCTGCTCCTTGGAAACCTTACTGGACAGTTCTACTCTGTCTTATAGGGTCGCTGTGAGTTGCAATCAACTGGACAGCAAGAGGTTTGGTTTTTTGGATCCTAACCCTGTCACTCCCCATAGGTAACCATTATTATTCCATTTGCTTTAAAAGAAAAAAGTGTCTATGATACATACATATGTGCATGTTAACGTTTATGTACATGCACATCATACATTTTTTTTTCACAATTATACGTATGGTTAAACAATATTTTGTTTGGTTTTGACCACTATTTGTGGTTGTAGTTAATTTGTCTTCACTGCTGTATAATATTCCACCATGTGACTATACCACAATGGATTTTTCCATTCTCCTGTCAATAGTTTTTTGCTATTACAAACACTGCTACTTTGAACCATTTTATACATGCCTCTGATGCACATGTCCAAGTTCTCTCTGGGCTGTATACACAGGGATAGGGCATTATAGGGTTGTAGGGTATGCAAACATTCAGCCTTGATATTATGCCAGATTGTTTTCCAAAGTGGTTGCATTTGTTCACATCCTATCAGCAATCAATACAAGTTCCTAATGATCCACACCCTCTCCAACACTTGGTCCTGTGTTAGACTTCACATTCTTTACAAGTCAAGAGGTCTCCATAAGGGTTCCATCATGCTCCTGGGTCTTCAAAGGGGCTTCTAGTCACCATTCTAACTAAATGTGTTCACAGTGGTGACTACCACCTCTGTGTATGGGTATAGCCAGAAGCATACACGATTCATGTCCTTTCCTCACAGGGTACATGTAAACATCAGAACAAGTGTTAGACTAGGAACAACGCAGGTTTTCATCTCTGGCGTGGTAAGGACTACATGGAGTGCTCTGAGGATTCTGAGGCTATCTGGGCTTAGTAAGAAACAGTGCTGTAAAAGATTAGTGATGCTTGAGGGAGAAGAGTGTGGTGGTATTCCCACCAAATTTCTGCTGTTTCTATAAACAACTGACATGCTATGAGGTTATCACTGGTGGCCGGCCACTGATCACCCACAGTGCATAAAAGAGTTAACATAGCAGACCTGAGACTGCTATGCTTAGAAAAGTCAGCTTGCAAAGTTGGTCCTTGGCTGGTATTTGGGAACTTGAATTTTGGGAGGGTTCTCACCATTCCCTGATGCTAATGGCTCACTGTGCCTAAACTGTTTGTACAAACAATATGGCTTATGCTGAACACCTACTTTCCTTCTGGGAGTCTAGAATTTTGGTACATACTAAGCACAGGGTGCCTGTATGGCCAGCCCTTAATAAAAATACTGGCCATTAAGTCTCTAATGAGACTCCCTGGTAGAACGCATCTCACATGTGTTGCTACAACTTGTTATTGGAGGAATTAAGCATGTCCTGTGTGACTCCACTGGGAGAGGACTCTTGGAAGCTTGTACCTGATTTCCTCTAGACTTTGTCACCTGTACATTTTCCCTTTGCTGATTTTGCTTTGTGCCTTTCTGCTATCATAGACCATAGCTCTAAGTACGACTATATGCTGAGCCCTGTGAATCCCAATAAATCACCAAACCTGAGGGTAGTCTTAGGACTCCTGACACACCTACCAATTAAGAGCTTCCATAGACAAGTATAAGTATCATTCTTCCCTGGGGTTTTAAGACTAGAATTCTCTCAACTTGATGTGATAACATTGGATATCATATTACATCAGAAGCTCTGATTTGTAGTTCTGTACGGCATGACACGAGCAAATAATCTTCCCTATGGAACCTCTTCCACAGTAGCACCCATTGGTTGGATTCCATGACTGGACTAAAGAACTAACCAACAGTTCAAAAATAGGACAGGTCACTTACTGTTGCTGCCTCTTCCAGGGCCTGCTTGTTTCCTCCAAGGGCTTTAAAAAGAACATGTTATTTAGTTATTACAGATTTTAACAGTAACTCATCTTCCCTACACTATCAGTTATCTTTCTAAAACTGGACCAGATTAAACCCTTGGTACAACATTCCAGGGCCTTCACAATCTAGTCTTTCTCCAACCTTGACTCTTACTCATGACCTCCTCTATGTTCCACCACACCAAACTTCTCACCACTCTCCAAATGTGCCACTGCCTCTCATGACTAAGTGCCCTAGGACCTACTTTCTCCACCTGGAATACTTCTCTGCACTCAACAAACTCCTAATTCATTCTTCAAAACTCTTCTCAAATGTCACCTCCTCAACAATGGGCTCTACTATGTATCAAGCATTCTACTCACCATGTCTCAATCCTCACAATCCTTACTCTACAGATAGGGAAACTGGGGCCAGAGAGATTAACTATGATTAAGTAACTTGAGGAAGATCATAGAACTGGAATATGAAAGAGCTGGAATATGAAAGAGCTGGAATTTGAACTCAGGTTTGCCTTGACCCCAAAACTGTTTATTTTTCTCTCACAGTAGGTTGTTGCAAAGTGCCGAGTTAGTTGCTCACCCTCTTCCTACCCAACAACTACTCAGAGCCGTTTCAGTGTCCACCCTTGCCTTGACTGTGAATTCCTTGAGGATAGCAATAATAGCCATAGCTTCTGGCAAAAATCTGGCATATAGTACTTGGGTAGTAAACGTTGGTTGAATGAAGAAGTCTTTGCAAGATTTAGATGTAGAATTAAAAAGTTAGGTTAGGTTCTCCTGCTGGAAACTCTCATAGCATTCTGTATAACAGTCAAGAACTCAGGCTTTGGAACCAGAATATCTGGGTTCAAATAGACTCTGCCACTAACTAGCTTATGAGACCTTGAGCAAAGTTAACTACCCTCTCTGTGCCTTAATCTTGTCATGTATACAATGGAGAAAATATTAACAATAAGCTTGTTACGGGGATAAAATTAATTAACATATGTAAAGCATAGGAAGCACTATGTAAATGTGCTTACTGGTGACTACTCTTGTAGCACATAATTTTAATTATAAAATCATGTGTAAAATTTTTAATCATCCTCTACACTAACCCATAAGCTCCTGAGGCACAATGTCTTTTAATTTCCTGATGCATCTTCAGCACCTAGCATTGTGACTGACAAATGATTGATGAATATTTGTAGAAATGAGCAAATGAATGAATAAGTAAAAGGGCAAGTTGAAAGATCATTCAATGTCTACTGTGAACAGAAGAATCCTTTGGTAGTGCAAACAGTCAACGTGCTTGGCTGCTAACCAAAAGGTTGGAGGCTTGAGTCCACCCAAAGGTGCCTTGGAAGAAAGGCCTGGTGGTCTAATTTCAAAAAAATCGACCATTGAAAACCCCATGAAGCACAGTTCTACTCTGACACATATGGAGTCATCATGAGTCAGTACTGATTTGATGGCAACTAGCTACTGTGAACAGAACATGCATTTCTATCCAGGAAGGAGGCTACAGCCTGGGTAACTAATAAAAGAGAATGGAAAAATTAAAGTTAATCCAGCAGAAAGGGCAGCTTCCTGCACTTCCTTGGCTGTTTAACAAGGGGGCGGGCGAATAGGCTAGGATTTTTCTCTGGCCAGGAAACTCCTGAATCTTTACATATCACAATCTGATTTGTCCATTTTTAAACTGGCAATTTCTATAAGCTGCAGAAAAAACTCCCTAGGGCTCACCCTTCTATCTGAGCTCTGGTAACAGACAAAGTTGTTCATTCACTCATTTAATAAAGTTTTACTGATCACTTAGTACCTATCAGGTACGTTTCTGGCTACAGATATAACAAAGTTCCTGCCCACAGTCTCGGTTGTGGATGAGAGAATATGTAATCAACAAAAGTAAATAGGTAAAACGTATTAGGTTGGATTAGGAATCAGCAAACTGTTCCCACCTGCTTTGGTATGGCCTTTGAGCTCAGAATGTTTTTTTTACATTTTTAAGTGGTTGGAAACAGTACTAAGAGAAGAGTATTTCGTGACATGTGAAAATCATGTGAAATTCAAGTTCTGTGTCCATACATAAAATTTTACTGGAATATAGCCATGCCCATTTGTTATAACTGTTCTGGAGATGTAACAGCAGAGTTGAGCAGTTGCAACAGAAACCTGCTGACCCATAAAACCTAAAATATTTACTATCTAGCCCTTTACAGACAAAGTTAGCCTACCCCTGCGTCAGATGATGACAAGTGCTATGGAGGAAGATAAAGCAAGGAGGGGAGATGGGAGTGGGGCAGCAGGGCTGCAATTTTCAACAGTGCTCAGGGTAGGCCTCACTAAGAAGGTAACATTTGAGCTGAGTTCCTTCTGAAGGCAGTCTGCAGTTTCTGTAACCACAGAGGGGCTTCATGCCGAGGCCTGGGGAAACTGCAGCAGTTCTTACCGAAGTAGTCGAGCCAGTTCATCTCGCGCAGCGCCTTGGGGAGCCGCAAGATCTCGATGTTGTACAGGTTATCCATCTCCTTCAGGAGGTTCTGCCTGTCTGATTGAATTTGCTTGTATCGGATTTGCACTGCGAAAGGGCAGAGCCGACAGGACACGGATCACTCGGCGGACGCATGGGGTTTGGAATCTGTGCTGTCTGCGTCCCAACCCGCCAGGACCAAGGGAGAGTTCCAGGTAGGCGCCACTACCCGGGCGGGCCCCGCCCCTTACCTTCACGGTCGAAGTCCTTAAGAAAGGAGGCGAGCTTCCGGCTCCGCAACGAATTGGTCTTAGTTGATCGACTGCGGCCCTTCCTAGCTGGAGCCATGGCGCTTCGGTGGAGGCTGTGGGGAGCGGGGGACCGAACGACAAGGGGTCAGGGAGGAAGGAGAACTAAGGAAACCGCAAAGGAACGGGGGAGGGCGGACGGGGACCGAAAGGGACAGAAAGGGACTCCCCTCCTTCAGGGTCTGGGCATAAAGAGAGCGTAAGTCATGTACCTGCGGATCCCAAAACAAGGACTGAGAAAAACCTCGCTGCTCCACCTGAGAGAGAATCGGCTCGGTGGCTAACTGGACATACGACCGCCGCCACCAAATTCAAACTTAACTGCTACCGGCTGACGAATGAGAAGTCGCCGTCTTATAAAGGTCCCACAACATCCAATCATTAAGAAGCACTACAATCAGGAACCAGTCCACACGCAGAACTACAACACCCAGAAGTCATTGCGGTTGAATGATGTATTTCCGTGACGCAGAAGCCGCCGTGGCCTGAGGTTTCACTTCACGACCCGGAGGGGG